GAAGATGAATCGCATTTTATGCTTGACTGTAAATTATATGATAACGAACGTAAATCACTGTTCAGTTCAATTAAGCTCGACAAAAAATGTAAAACATTATCAAAGGAAGACACTTTTAAATATATTATATCATGTACAAATATAGACGTCATCAATGAAGTATGTAAGTATATTTCAAAATGTTTCAAAAAGAGAGAAGAAGCCATTAGAACTTAGATCAATACCACTTATATTTATATTTCTTTTTATCTTATTTTTAGCATTATATACCTTAGACCTAATGTTAGCCTTTTATATTACTATTGTTTTAGTACTCTCTAGTACATTGTACATCCATGCATTTATCCCTCCGGGGAATGAACATGCAATAAAGTTTCATTACTTGAGTTGATTTTCAAAAGTGGAATTAAACACTGTATTTTCTCTCTTTCAGGTGACCTTGACGCAAACCGGCCTGTCCCGTTCCGCCTGACGCCAAACATATCGGATTTCCTGACGCCCATCGGTGTGAGCGGCGTGCTGACATCGTGTATGATCGCGGCGGCTCGATGCTTCGTGCAGCCGAACTTCAAACTGGACAGCCTGCTCAGGGCCGTGCTACGGGACGAACTCATCTACTGGCACAAGAAGGTAATTATTATGCACATATTAATGAGCTGATGAGCTAATCTTCAGTCCCAAAAAAGGAATCATATTATGCACAGTGTGGTTGATCTACCTACATACCAAATATCATTGCAATCCATCCATAGGCTCTGGCCAAATTAGGTTAGAAACACAGACAGACAGACACACTAACACACACAACTATACCTCCTTCACAGACTTAAGTCTGCAATTATAAACATCAGTGACAATTTCCTGGTATGAAAACACTTCTACTAAATGACTTCTACTACATGTAAATACAATCTTATATATATTATATATATTATATAATAATGAAGGATAGTCTTCATATAAAACGTACCATGCAGGGTTTCAGTAGAACTTGTAGGATGTTTAAGGATCTTACCAGAAAAGCAAAGATACTGGTCCCATGGACAACAGTTTATGTAATAATTCTACACATGTAGGTCAATCTGTCTTCCTTATCAAGTTTCCGCTACAAGATGCCAAGATTCCTTTCCACTCAAACTTATAACACCCGACAGATTAATTTTGGACTTAATATTGCACTTTGGACAAATGTTTGTAGCCCTTTACAGCTCATACTTACAAAGTTGATATTTTGTGGAAACCTTCCCTGGCACATAACGGACCATAATGACACCCAGTTTCAAGATCACAATGTTTGAAACCAATCTCAGAACAATCTTCAGATTTTTCAAAAAGATCTTCAGATTCTTTGAAACTATCTTCAGATTCTTTGAAAAAATCTTCAGATTCTTTGAAAAAATCTTCAGATTTTCCCAGACTTTTGAAAATAATCTTCAGATTTTTTTAAACAATCTTCAGATTTTCCAGAAAATCTTCAGATTTTTTAAAAACATCTTCAGATTTTTCGATTTTCAATGACGCGTGACGAC